CTGTGTGTCTGTTTTTGTGCCAGTACCGTGCTGTTTTGGTTACTATGGCTTTGTAGTATATTTTGAAATCAGGGAGTGTGATACCTCCAGCTTTGTTCTTTTTTCTCAGGATTCCTTTGGCTATTCAGGGTCTTTTGTTGTTCCATATGAATTTTAAGATTCTTTGCTCTATTTCTGTGAAAATGTCATTGGAACTTTGATAAGGATTACATTGAATCTATAGATTGCTTTAGGAAGCATGGACATTTTAAGTATGTTAATTGTTCCAATCCAAGAGCATGGAATATCTTTCCATTTCTTTGTGTCATCTTCAATTTCTTTCAACAATGTCTTATAGTTTTCAGTGTACGGGTCTTTCACCTCCTTGGCTAAATTGATTCCTAGGTATTTTATTCCTTTTGTTGAAATTGTAAATGGGATTGTATTCTTAGTTTCTCTTTCTGCTACTTTGTTGCTAGTGTAGGAACACAACTGATTTTTGTATGTTGACTTTGCATCCTGCAACTTTACTGTATTCATTTATTATTTCTAAAAGTTTTTTGGTGGATTCTTTAGGGTTTTCTGTATATAAAATCATGTCATCTGTAAATAATGACAGTTTCACTTCTTCTTTTCCAATTTGGATTGCTTTTATTTCTTTTTCTTGCTTGATTGCTCTGGCTAGGACTTCCAATACTATGTTAAACAAGAGTGGAGAAAATGGGCATCCTTGTCTGGTTCCTGTTCTTAGAGGGATAGCCTTCAGTTTTTCTCCATTGAGAATGATATTAGCTGCAGGTTTATCATATATGGCCTTTGTTATGTTGAGGTACTTTCCTTCTATACCCATTTTATTCAGAGTTTTTACCATAAATGGATGCTGGATCTTGTCAAATGTTTTCTCTGCATCTATTGAGATGATTGTGTGATTTTTATTCTTGATTTTGTTAACGTGGTGTATCACATTGATTGACTTGTGGATGTTGAACCATCCCTGCATCCCTGGAATGAAACCCACTTGATCACGATGTATGATCTTTTTAACGTATTTTTGTATTGGATTTGCTAGTATTTTTGTTGAGGATTTTTGCATCAATGTTCATCAGTGATACTAGCCTATAATTTTCTTTTTTTGTGTTGTCCTTGTCTGGTTTTGGTATCAGAGTAATGTTGGCCTCATAGAATGAGTTAGGAAGCTTCCTCTCCTTTTCAATTTTTTGGAAGAGTTTGAGAAAGATAGGTATTGAGTCATCTTTGAATATTTGGTAGAATTCGTCAGGGAAGCTGTCTGGTCCTGGACTTCTATTTTGAGGAGATTTTTGACTACTGTTTCCATCTCCCTACTGGTGATAGGCCTATTCAAATTCTCTATTTCATCTTGATTAGGTTTTGTCTCCAGGCATTTTAATTCTGGACTCTTGAACTGTGTCTTTAGGGACCCCCACGAGCAGTCCTGCATCAAACAGTGTCCTAATATTGGAGGACCCACATTCAGCTCCTTTCTGGCCAGTCCCCCTGCAGCCACTTTCTTCTGGGTTCCCCACAGCAAACAGGCTGCTCTCTTGAGTGGACCCCTCATGTCCTGCTAACATCCCCCACAGAAACTCATCTATCCTTGCCTTGTGCAGCTCACATGATGCCTCCCCTTCTCTCCTCACTGCTTCGGTCTGTCTTCCGCCTTCCAGCTTCTCCAGGTGACAGGCTGCATCTACCTTTGTCTCAAGTTTGCCCCAACAACCTGGGAAGTGTGTCAGATTCTCTAGCGCTCCATGCTCTAACAGCTACCATTATGCAGCTTCACAAGCATCTGTCTAGACGGGGGGCTGCCTCTCTCCTCTTCTTACATGCTCCCCACTGCCATCTCTGCAGACCGTTCTCTTGCAGAGAGTTCTCAAAACCTCTCACCCACTCACCCTCTGCATAAATCCCTAGGTCACTGAGCAGGTCCATCTGCCTTCCATGAATGAGGCTTGTGCTTCTGCTTTGAAGGTGGGGGTCCTGATCATCCTTTGTCCTCAACTCAGGGGTTTCATCCAAATTCTGAGGCAACAGGAGAAAACTTCTTTTGTTACTAAAAATCACATTTCAATGATATCAGGGAAAAAGTAGACAGGAAATTTGCTTTGATAAGTGGCACATGATAGTGTGTTCTGCTAAGCTACAAACAATGGTCCATGATGTCACAGAGGCCCAGGCCTGTGATTCCTACAGAGGATGGGGACGGGAGAACTCCATAGCAGCGACGTTGCTAGTGATCTCTTGTAAGTAGGAGTGGTGAAGGTTTGTCATTTATAAGATGTGTGTTGGTAATAATGGTTTAAAATGTTGAATTGCATTTGTACACACACATGGGTGTGCAAATATCTATTTAATGTGCTAAAGAATGTTTTATTACTATTGGATTTCACTGCAGTTAAAAATGCCTAAACTCTAGAAATACTAGTAAGAGAGAAAATGCCAGGTCCTGGGCATTCCAGAGAAATGCTCCTCCCTTGGATTTATAAATGCACCTAGGACCACAAAGAAGGGAGCTTATTTCTGCCCGAGCTGGGCAGGTAGGAAGACCTCACAGAGGGGATGGGAGCTACTTGGGGAGGTTCCTCCTAGGGGAGATGGAGAAGCATGCGGGCCCCAGAGCAGCCTGAGTCAAGGAAGAGAAACACAAGAGCAGCTGGTGAATTGGGGCACATTTCTCAGTCCTGGGAGAAAAGAGACAGGAACAGCCATTGTCCGAGTCCTTGCTCCATCTAGACCTGGGGACCTATGCTTCCAACATCTTTTCCCATCTGGTCCTCACAGCAGCCCCGTGAGGCCCTTGGCAGCCTCTGTTTTTCAGATGAGGAGTAAGGCCTAGAGAGGCTAATGGACTTGTAATGAAAGTAAAGCTGGGGCTGAATCCCAGCTTGGTTCCCCTCTAAGGCAGGTGTGCTCCCTACCGAGCCTGGCTTGGTGGCAGGGCTGGGAAACAGCACTGGGGAGTGAGCTGGGCTGCAGGACCGCCTGACCTTCCCGAGGTACCCATCTTTGCTTGCCAAAGAATAAAAACTGTCAATCCCCACTGCTCAAGAAACACAACCGTTGTCAGGAGTGGCCTCGCTGGGGAGCAGCCAAGGCTGGCCCTGCTTCTCAACTTGGAGACGTGGAAATCCTTGGGCTCAGACACAGGACAGGTGCGTGAGCGGCTCCTCCCTCATGGGATGTCAGGATCCAGGCCCCACTCCAGGTGTTCCTGTCACCAAGAATCATCATCAGATGACTCGATCCCCAGAAAATTTCAGCAACTTTACAAAATCATCCCTCTGGCCTCAATTTCCAACCCCATTGAACCATCTTCCTTAGCCCCGAGAGCGGCCTGAAGCCGAGGTGTTTCTCTCAGGAAAAAGCCCCGCTGATTATGACTGGGGCCTGCCTGTCCTTCCAGCAAGGTCAAAGTCAAGGTGAGAGCAGGACCAGCAGGAAGCAGGAGGCACCAGGCCCAGAGCCCTTCACGTGTGCTCAGCTGGCGTCCCTTCTGTGGCCAGCTCCATCCAGGCAGTCAGGATGCAATGTGAACGAGAGCCAACTCCTGCCCTCAAGGGCCACTGTCAAGGAGGAGAGACAAAGATGGGTTCTCTTCACTGCCTCGCAGTAGGAGGTCCACTTAGCCATTCAATAATTCCAAACTGTTAGTGAAAAACAGGCAAACACACACACTTTCTCCTCCTCCCCCTCCTAGGATATATCTAACAACCCAGGGTGATTAACCTGTCCAAAGGACTCAGTCAACTCTGGCTTCTCTGGTCTCAGAGGAGCAGGAAACAACAATGACAACCATGGTGAGTCTTTATTGAGATGGTCCTCTGGACCACACGGCACCATGGTGATTACGTTACCTTTGTTGCCATGTTTCATCCTAACAACCACCCCTTGAGTTGGCTACTTGGATCGTCATCACTGTTTTACCAATAAGAAAACTGATGCTTAGATAAAGAGCAGCTGTCCTGGAGGTGGCATGTGGTGGACATCAATGCAGGCTGTCTGGCTCCCCACCATCTTCAGTCAGACACCTGCTCAGGCCACCACGGGCACCCTTCTCTGCTCAGAGCACAGAGCCTCCAAGAGGCCTCTGGAATTCTCAGCCCACGGGTGTCCTGAGGTGGGAGCCATTCCTCTGGACACAGAGGGAGAAGATTCCTCTCTCCGGGCTGCTGTGCTCTGTCGTGGACCTCTCACAGTACCCCCAGGGGTCCAGCTCTCTAGAACTATCTGCCAACCCAAACACACAAGGCCCACTGAGTGAGGAAGGCCCCAGGATGAGCCATATGCCAACTCAGAACCACCCCCAACCCTGCCTGGGGAGTCCTCGGGGTCAGTTTCAGATACCCGCCAAAGTCAGTGTCCCCCACTAGGAGCAAGGCTTATTTGTTGTTTTTTTAAAATAAAGAATGAAGGACACCCATGTCCACAGCAGCATTACTCACAATAGTCACAAGGCAGAAGCAACCCAAGTGTTCATCGACTGGTGACTGCGTAGACAAAATGCAGGATGCACACACAGTGGAGTATTACTCAGCACTGAAAAGAAGGAAATTCTGACACCTGCTACAACGTGGATGAACCTTGAGGACATTGTGCTAAGTGAAATACGCCAGTCCCAAAGGACAAAGTGTATAATTCCACTGACATGAGGCGCAGAGACTGGTTAAATTCATAGAGACAGAACGTAGAATGGTGGGTGCCAGGGGCTGGGGGACGGGATGGGGAGTCGCTGTCTGATGGGGACGGAGCTTCAGTTTGGGAAGATGGAAAGAGTCCTAGAGGAGGATGATGGTGAAGCTGCGTAACAATGTGAGTATACGTAACACCACTGGATCGGACACTGGAAAATGGTTAAGATGGTAAACTTGATGTTATGTGTATTTTAACACAATTAAAATTTTTTTTAACGGGGGCGAAAAAAGAGTGAAGAAGAAAAAGCCTTGGGGAATCACCAGAAGGTGGTCCTGTTGCCCCTTTATTCACTCTCCAAATAGCACCCAGTTGTCACCCACAGATTCCAGGCCTCTGTTTAGGGGAGTTCTTTGGTTTCTAAAGCCCCAGGAACCTACACCCACGAGGGCCTCTGCTGTAAGGAAAGAAAGTCCCTGAGGATCTTGCCGACTTTTGGGCATCTGTTTCCAAGTGGCTTGAGGGGCAGGGACCCAGAGAAGCCCCGTCCCACCCAGTCCGCTTCACGGAGGGGAGGGAGCACGGCTAGCTCCCGCTTCCTCCCTCGGAGACATAAACAGTAGGTTGGCACAAGATTTCACTGAAAACCTCCCGGAACCTTCATCAGCTCTGTATGTTTCCTTTGTTGAAAAAATGTGATTTTTTTTCCTTCTAGAGAAAAAGTATTCATAGTGAGAACAATGGGCAACAATCACAATTCATTATTTCCAACTTTACTCATCAGAGGGAAAAAATCATTAAACCTGAGAATCAGGGCCTCGGGGCTCTGTGGGGAAAATGAAAGTGGCTTCCAGACAGAGGGGCTCCGTCATTGTCCCACTGACTGTCCTCAATGTCCTAGAGACAGAAAGAAGCCAGAGTCTTGAAGGCTGGCCTCGCAGAAGGTCCTTGTGCTCCTTCCCCCCATTGTCTCCGAAAGGCTGTTGAGCATGGGCACCAAAAAGAGCCGACCAATGGGTCCTTCCCTACACGAGATGGCCACGCGACTCCTCCACGTCTAGAAAGCAAAGTGGCTAGTGAGTTTTAAAGTTCAGCTTTATCACCAAAAAAAAAAAAAATCTTAATTTAGATCTTATGACACATTCCTCTATAAATACAAGAATCCCTTAACCCATTCCGAGGTGCTAACGAAGCGGGCCACTGAGAATCACAAAGGACACTACAGAAATCTTCGCAGATGGGCTGTGACTGACTTTAGAAGGATAACAAGGAATATGGCCAATGAAAGGATTGAGATGGGAGGCTGGGGAACACAGCCCTAAAGAAAGGGACCCTGTGAGCCAAGTTAGGGGGTCCAGCTCGGGGAATTTTGCACACGAAGCTGAGCAGGGGCAGTGGCCAGAGGTTCAGCTCCCAGGAAAAGGGGCCAATCTTGAAAGGCCCTGAGTCCCATGGCCAGGAGCACCTTCACCCTCCTGTAGGACTTGGTTTCTATGCGTTTTACAATGCTTGCTCCACTTCGTAAATACCAAATGTCAAGCGTTTATTTAATGTTATTTGAAATTCCAGAAAAAACGTTCTCCCTACAGTGAGTGGAATAATTTTTTAAAAACCTGCATCTATGGTGCCATTTTCTTGCTTAATACCCTTCAGTGGCTCCCAGTGGTTCTTAGGATATGAACTCTCTGGGGGGGGGTCCAAGGCGTTACACAATACTAACAGTTATTGACATTCTACTCTCCACCGTATGCTTTACCTGTAGAAACTCATTTAATCCTTATCACAAGGGCGTGAGGCAGGTGCTATTACTAACTCACAGTGCATTTGGAGATACTTTGCCCGAGATTGCATAGCTGGTAAATGTTGGGACCAGGAGTGGAACGCAGGTGACATAGGCATGTTCCTCCCCCTACTTCACCATTCCAGTCCAAGCCACCATCACCCCTCCCTGGGCAATGGCCATGGCCTCCAAACGTGACTTCCGCTCCCACCTCAGCTGCAGACTCCTAGATGCTGCCATGACCTCTGACTGCAGCCCTTCAGAATCCCACCCTCACACACCCTGCTTGGACCACCACTTCGTTTACTCCCAGTCCACTCGCTTTAATACGCTAATTCCAACAATTCTTTGGCCTCAACACAACCTATAAGCCATTGATCCTATCATGTGTTTATTGTCCCAGACCCCGCTCATGCCCCACTACCCTCCAGCCTAGTGTAGACTTCCAATCATCTCTTTCATGCACCTTTATCTCCTCAACCCTTTTTTCCTGTCGTTGTACTTACCTGGAAAAAACCCGATCCTGGTTAAAGCCTCATCACTCCCACTCTCCTCCTGAACCCAAGCAACTATCTTTCACTGGAGGGAAACCCAAAGCAAAGCTGATTCTCTGTTAATGACCATCAACCTCAGGTGAGCCTTCATGGCCGCCCAGGAACCCGGCTACTCTTCCTGCCTCAATCCAGCCTCCCACTTTCCTAGATGACGTCTACCCCTCTCTCCTCACACTTCCAAAAGTCCTCTCCATTCTTACCATCAGTTTGCTACCTTGCTGAGAAAAATGAAGCAATTAGAAGAGAAATTTCACGCACTCCCACCTCCCCTCCCCCTTTGCACCTGCTCTTCTCCCTATTACTGCTGATTCATTGTCTATATTCCTTTCTAAGGCTTTCCTCCTTCTCCATCCCATCCCTTTCCTGCATTCTCATCTTTCTCTCTTGTATCATCAACTCTTCTCTTTCTATGAGATCATTTTAAGCAGCAGGTAAGTACATCTATTGTATTCGATCTGTCATATAGTCTCCTTTCACCACATGTTCCCTTCTCCCTCTTAGAAAGAATTGTCTATATTCATCTTTTGCCCATTCTCTGTTTAACTCAAATCTGTCAGAATGTCATCCTTACCAGTCCACTAAAAGAATCGTTATCAAGGACACCAATGGCCTGCACGTTGCTGTACCTGACGGCCATTCCTCGGTCATGTTGTATTTTAGTGTATCAACTGCATTTGATAAGTGAGCCGCTGCCCACTTGGTGAAACCCTTTCTCCAGTTGGCTTCTAGGACACCACTTGTCTTAGTCCCTTTGGGCTGCTGTGACAAAATACGACAGACTGGGTAGCTTACAAACAACGGAAATTTATTTCTCACAGTTCTGGAAGCTGTAAAGTCCAAGATCAAGACGCCAGCACGGTCGTGTTGGGTCAGGGCCCTCTTCCTGGCTCACAGCTGCCAGCACCTTCTCACTGTGTCCTCACATGGTGGAAGGGACTAGGGATTTCTGGGGCCTCTTTCACAAGGGCACTGACCCCATTCATGAGGACTTCACGCTCGTGACCCGAGTACCTCCAAAGGCCCCATCTCCTTCAACCATTAACTTTGGGAGTTAGGATTTCAACATATGAATTTGGTGGGGGGCGGGGCACAAACATTCAGACCACAGCACCACCCTTGGCTGTCCTGCTCCCCCACTGACCTCTGCTTCTCCTTTGCAATCCTTCCCCATGACGACCACCAACAAACATGGGAGTGCCCCGCGGCTTACTCCTCGGAGCTCGTCTCTTTCTACATGCCTCAGCTAGGTCGGTAGCTCCAGACTTACGGCTTAAATGCCATCCATTCCTTGATGACTCCTCAAGTTTTACTGTAAAGAGATCTGACCTCTATCCTCAACTCAGACACCTCCACTGGGATGCCTAATCGACATCTCAAACTTTACTTGTCCCCAGATTCCTGATTTCCAGCCCCTCTCCCAACTTTCTCCTCCAACAGTTGTCCCCCCCGTCACTTAATGGTAATTTTATTCTTTTTGGACCTCACCCCAAAGCCCAGAAGTCACCCTTCACATCAAATTTACCAGCAAATATTGGCTCTACCTTCAGATCTATCCTGAACCTAGCCACTTCTCACCGTCTCCATCACACACACCGCCCCTCTGCATCATTTCGATAGCCACCAACTGGTCCCTCTGCTTCTGCCCTGTGCCCCTACAGCACAGCAGCCAGAGTGACCCTTTTGAAATATAAATCAGATGACATTACACGTTCAAACCCTCCAACAGCTGCCTGCCAGAGCGAAAGCCAAAGTCCTTACGATCACTTGTAGGGGCATAAGTGATCTGCTCCCCACCCCCTACCTCTCGGACCTCAGCTTTACTACTCTCCCCTGCACTCTCTCTGGTCCCACAGATGTCATCCCTAATGTCAGGGACCATGTCTATTCTCTCTTCCTTTAGGGAACCTAGCATCATGCTTGACATCTTGTGGACACTCAGAGACATTGGCTGAAAGAATGCTGCCTCTCTCCCTCTCTCTCTCGCTCTTTCTCTCTCTCTCCCTCTCTCTTTCCCCCCAGACTAGGTGCAATTCTAAAGCATAAGCTTTGCCTCCTTCCCCTTTGCAGCCCTGTTCGTTACCCAGCACCTAGCACACAGCAGGTTATACCCTCAGGAGGATATTACAATGGGATTCAGGACACGGAAGCGAGCATGGGAAAGGCCCACAGGAAGACATGCAAACACACAATTTGCAAGAGGAATGAAGACAAGCCTGTCCTACTGCCCCTCGAATTCCTCAGTTGGAAGGATCAAGGGAAGAAAGAAGATAAGAAGAGATTGGGGAGGAAACCTCTTTGGCAGGAGTGACCTGAGTCCGCAAGAGGTCATGTCCTTCTGACCTGGGCTGGATGCCACCTTCCACCCCCGACGCCAGAGAGGGGGGCTTCCAGGGGACTGGAGAGGAGCTGCTCTGTGCTATGGGTAGCCGGGGCAAGATAAACTAGGTCTGACTTCTGTCTACACAATTAGAGAAGGTGACCGAGGGCTCTGGCGGAGGGCCACGGGTGCACTGCTCTACTGGAATAGGTCTGATCACGTAGGAGCAAAGCAGGCACGAACGTGCCCTTTGACCAGACAGCGGCTCTGCAAAACATGAGCTGGAGTGGACATCTTAGAACAGTCTTAAATCTTTCTCATGGAGGGGTGGGAAGGCACGGGCCCAAGAAGCTGCAGATGAACAGCAGGCGGCTGGGGGAGGGGATGCAGAGGCCACCTTAGGACAGAGACACGTGGCCTGGGTCAGAGGGGTGCCCGAGAGGGCCAAGGAGAGCCTTCTGGACAACTTACAGAAACAGTCAGCGTTAAGCAACAGCCAGGCCCTAAAGGGACAAAGCCCGTCTGTGACAAGGACAATTCTAGGGACTTTTCTGTCTACTTCTGTTTCCTCTCATGCAACCGAAACTGGCTGTGGAAGCAGAAAGGAGAGGCCGGGCCAGGCAGAGAAATGGAGAAGAAGGCAGCCACACTCCCCTTGGCCACCACAGGCTTCATCCCGAAGCTGACCCCGGGTATAGGAAGGGAGAAGATCTGACGTGAAGGCGGTTGAGAGTTGTAATAATTAGATGGGACTAGGATTACAAGGGATTTCTAAACCAAGATTTACAGTGACGCAGGAACGTCTGCTATTCTCTGCGAGCAGAAAGCTGACGAGCCCACCGGAGTCGCCCACAAGGTCAGGGGACAGTAACCTCAATGGTCTGACACTTGAAAGCTGCGTCTTGATCATCATTCACACCTCTTGCTTATTCAAGATGCAGACACACACACACACGTAACCCGGCTGGGGATGCAGAAATAAGTAAGACCTGCGCTCTACACATAAGACGCTTATGTTTTGGAGGAGTCAGGACATCATTCAATACCTTGTGCCAGTTGCCAGGATAGACCTACGCACAAAGTGTCACCGGAGCCCGTGGCAGAGAGGGGCTAGGGTCAACTCAGGGCCCCACATCCAAGATGTTCTGTCTCATGAGACGTTCTGACAAACCCTGCATCGAGTATTTCTACTCCAGTTTGGCGAGTGTAGACGGGCTGTGTGTCTTAGAGAAGAAAAGTGCCTGCAGTCACACACTCACCAAGTCTCAGCAGTCTGAGAAGACGAAATGTCTTGCCCTGGGCCCATGAGCTTGCCCCCTCCCAGGGTTGTTGATCTGTCCACCAGAGACTTCTAGCGACACAGCACCGGGGACTGAGGCAGGAAACCCTGGAGCTTCAGTTCGGAAGTTTTCCAAATTCGACACCACCATGACTTCCCCTTTGAAATGGCTGAACTCTCGCGCCTAGCGGTCCTTTAGCCACCACATGTACGTCTCCCGTGGCTGCCAGCCAGCTCTGGACGGTCCCCACTGGGGAGGGTGCTCCCAAGCCTCAGCCGAAAGCTGTGTCTCCCTGTGGTTTCTCGTCCTTCATCCTGGTTTTCCCAGTAGCCTCACAGAGCAAATTGCTCCTTTTTCCACATAACAGCCCCTAAGAAGCGTGACATTTCTAATTTCGATCCTGTCCCCCCACCCTTAGCTGTCAGTTCCCTGAGTTAAACTGCCCTTGCTCTTCAGCTGTTATTTTAAGCCATGGTTTTGAATCTCCTTGTCACCCTGTCCTCTCTTATGAACACATGTCAGTTGACCTCTCTCATGAAGTAAGCTTTCACAGAGGACTGAAAGAACTGAGTGAAGAAGGTTCTAGGGGGGTGTGGGAGGCAGGTGCAAAGGCCCTGAGGCAGCAGCATGCTCATGTGTTCCAGCATCAGCAAGGAGCACAGGTCACTGCAGAAGCCCGAACCAAGGACAGAGTAGGTAGAAATGAGATGGGAGAGAAAGGTTAGTCTAGGTAGGTCTTATAGACAAGAACCTGAGATAAAACCCAAGTACTAGGAGTGACATTCTTAGATTCATGTTTTAAAGACATTGCAATGTCTACAGGCTGAGAATGGATTATAGGAGAGGTGAGAGATGACAGAGGAGACTACTGAGGAGGGCACTGCTATGGTCTGGGAGCTTTGCCTCTGAGCCTGCCCTGGTGTGTAGACATAGGTACGCTCCCCACAGGAAGATCAGTGGAGATGAAATCACAGGCAGAGGTGGGGAGCTCCCAACACCAAGGGCTAATGTTACTTTCTTCTCATGCTTCCTATGTGCCGGGCACTCTTCCAAGTGTGTTATACGCTTTGACTCAGTTCTTATGACCACCCATGAGATGAGGTTGTGAAGTCCTCTCATCTCTTGGCACAAGGATCCTGAATATATATTTCCATCTGACGTCAGTGTAGTAGGGCATGAGGTCAAGGGCACTTCCTAGTGTCGCCCATATGTGGTGTCTCAGTGGCCCCAGAACTAACCCCATCATGTCAGAGTTGAATGTGGGGGAACAGAGGGGGCACAGATGCTTTGTGAAGAGCTTGGACTTGATCCGCCGGGCGAGGGGGCACCACAGACGATTGCGTGGTCCCCTTAGGCCACTGGCCTGACGCTAACAGTGGAGATGAAGACATGCGTGTCCTTGATCTCCGAGGCCAGAGACAGACAGAGCTCGTCACCAGGTTCTCAATTAGCAGGCAGGCCCCTTGCAGAATTTGTGGGGCTAATTAGTATTAGGGATGGGTTTGGAGGACAAGCTTATGTGTACAAGTTCTTGGAACATTCCCCTTGGACGCATCCTTGCTTCTAAGTGTTAATTAGAGCTTCTATACTGCAGCTTGAAATCGAGTGGGAAATAAGTTGATATAGGTTAATTCAGTGGACAAGAGAGACGACCCCTCCTTGAAGTCTCGTTTGCTTCCATTTTGGACAGATGGCCAAGGTCCAGGGGTGGCTCCTAGAGAGCTCAGATCTCAGCGCATTCTCCAGATTGGGTCATATCCATATGGTCTCCTTCCTGTCAGCAATGTCAGAGTTTTCCCTCCCAGCTCCCATATCTCTTAGGTTAATTGAAGGGCAAGGTGGTGACCTGAAGTCCAAAAGATTAGTCCTGGAATTCCTATTCTGGCTTGGGCCAGCTCTGAGACCTCAGGGAAGTTATACAACCTCTCTGAGCCTCAGGGTCTCCATGTGGAAAACGGGAATGAGAAGAGCAAGATGCCTCGTAGAGCTGGCCTGAGGCTCAAAGGACCGAGCCTCGTTCTCCCCCGCTCATGGAGGGGGCCCTCGGGAAAGTCTGGTCTCCATGTGCATAGCTCCCAAGTGCGGCTCTGTCACTGTCCTCTGGAAACACCTGCTTTCAAAATGTGCTCCCTCCTGGTTCTAAGCTACAGCAGGTATATCCCCAGTGCCCAAGGGCTGGGACTCTGGGCTGTGGGAAAACAAGGTCTTCTATCTCGTTGCCAGGAGGGCCTCTCTGAGAAGGAAGCGTCAGACGCCCAGAGGAGAGCCTGTGGGACAGGGGCTGGTTGTACCTTGCCCTTTGATGTAGTCCAGCAAAGGCACGAAGGACGAATAAAGCTCGCTTCCGAACTGTGCCAGGGTCTCTCGCAGATCAGCACATATTAGGATTTTGTAGCAGACACTGTTGGGGCTCCGCCCACATCCCCGCAGGGAAACTTTACCATTTCAAGGCACCTGGCTCCCAGCGTGTCGTCACCCCCAACAGCACCTGGGTCCCTCCATCATTTCCTTGGAGGGCTGCCCTGAGGCAACTGGAGCCCAATTTGCTGGTCTGTGCAGAGATCAAAGTCCCTGGGAGCAGCCTTAAGTGGATGGGTGCGGGAATCAATCCCCGGGCTCCCCTGGCCCCTGGGCAGGACAGCTTTTCACTATGACCTGCACTGTCCCCAGCACCCCCCTGCAGGGTTGAGCTTAAGTGGCCCTCTGTGGGCCTTTGCCTGACATCACAGTCTTGCTTGGCCTCCTCCCCTCCCCGGACCCACTTCCCCACAACCATGCCAATGTTTGCCGCAAGCACTTTCCTAACATACCACGTTCACTTGAATCACTCCGGGGTCTGCTTCCGACAAACCCAGCCTAAGACAGAATCAAATTCAGATCATAAGGATTTAGCATCTACTCTGTGCCAGGCACAGTTAGGAAGTTTTGGGGTTTTTTAAAAAAAATTCATTATCTCATTTAATTTCATAATTAACTTTTTGGAGATGTTAGAAGTGAGAAAACTGGGACTCAGAAATTTAAGCGACTTACCCCAAATCACGCAGCTGGCAAATGACGACCTTCTCAACCTGAGAATCTTGTCCTCTTGTATCTGCTCCTTTCACATGGCGGGGAGGCGGTGGTTTGCCGAGGGAGGTAGGAAAGCTGAAAAGGTCACCAGGTCAGCTACAACCACATAGCCAAACTTTCATCTGTTCTAAATATTGGAGTTTCCATAAAATATTGTACTTTCTAAAAAAAGATTCTGTTTAAAAAAAGGCAAGTTGGAAACGACTGCATCATATCTGCTCTGTGGGATAGCGATGGAGATTAAATGAAATAATGAAGGCAGAGTGCTTAGCACAGAGCTTGGCACACAGCATATGGCTGACAAACGCCAGCAGACGGGATTATATATGAATAACATGCACTCACAATTTATGTGTGCTGGTTATATTTATGCCATCTATAATTTAAGGAAACAAATAATTTATATATTTTCAGTAGATGCAAATACTCTCCACGTCTAGTTAGCAGAAATAAATTACACAAACATGCATATATGCATTATTTCTCTGTATACATTTAGACTGTGTGGATACAAATGATTTGACTCTAAGCTGTGTGCATGGGGTTTCAGGGACGCATCTCCTTAAGAAAGGTGGAAATTAGCGTGAAACTCCCATCCTGTCCGTACCTCAACCCTACCCCGCTCTCACCTGCATTGTCTGCTGTGCAAGTATTGGTCAGGAAGTTGAAGGAATTTGGCTCACCATCAGCAGCTCATGCCAGACCTCTGTGCCTCAGCAGAGAGGACCTGTGGGAAACTGCCACTGCCCACGCAGAAGACAAGAGCAGGAAGCCCATGGCCCAAACCCAAAGCTCACCTTCCCATTCATTCATGGCACAGTAAATACTGAGGAAGACCTACTATGTGCCAGGTTCTGCCATAAGCGCTGGGATAGACACAGTGGAGAAACAACAACAATGAAACAGACACGACCCCTGTCCCATAGGGAGGGAGCATGACACTAATCAACCAATTGTACAAATAAGTGTCTATGACCAACTGGAATAATTCTACAGATGCTGTGCAAAAAACTGTGTCAGGGTCCAGAAAGACAGAGAAAGTTTCTCTGCAAGACGGAAGTCTGAGATGAAATCCAAAAGATGAACAGGTGTTAGTCAACTAAGTGAGAGAATATTCGGGTGGAGGAAATCCCAAAAGCTAAGACTCTAAGGTGGACAGAGCACAGAGAATTTTTAGGGCAGCGAAAACATTATAGTGATGGGTATATGTCATTATGCATTTGTCCGCACCTGTAGAATGTGCAACACCAAGAGTGAACTCTAGGAGGAACTATGGACTTTGGGTGACTACGATGGGTCAACATAGGTTCATCCTTGGTAAAAATTGTACCACTCTGGTGAGTGATGCTGATAACGGGGGAAGCTATGCATGGGTTGGGGCAGGGGGTATATGGGAAATCTCCGTACCTCCCTCTCAATTTTATTGTGAACCTAAAACTGCTCTAAAAAGAAAATAAGATCTATTAAAAAAAAAAAAAAAACAGGATTCTTGTAACTGAATTAGAAGTGGTCCTATACTTATTGAGAGAAACCGTCCTCTCTGACTGCCTGCGCTGCTCTGTGGGTTCTTGAGCACCTTCATCCTGAAGGGACAAGCCTTTCAGCGTTCTCCCCCGGCTAAGGAGAGCTGCGGGCTGAGAGGATTAGCTGGACCCACAAGGAGCTCACAGTCTAGTAGGAAGCCTGATGATGATTAAACACACATCCACAGATGGACAACTCGGGCGCTCTGTGTTCCCACCAATTCTGGTGCTTTCCTCCACCTTTCACCTGGCCACACTGTGCTGTCACTGTCTCTTTGCTTGTTGGTCTCGGAGTGGGGACCAATTGTTGCAGAGTCTCTCTACATCTCAGTGCCAAGCTCTTTTCAATAAATATTCGTCGGGGAGATTAGGGGCTATTTGGAGATGGGAAGAGGTGCAGAGAGGAGGCAAGCGAGGAAAGGCAGGTGGCAATTGGTACAAGGTACTGTGAAAATATATGCTGAGTATACTCAGTGTGCCCGGAGAGGTCAGAAAGGACATCCTAGAGAAGGGAATATTTGAACTGGCTTTTGCAGGATGAGTAAGAGTTTGTTGACCAACGAAGAGGAGAAATGGTGACCCAAGCCAAGAGACCAGTGTGTTTAAGTACAAAAGCCTGAGTAGGCATGCCACGTGCAGGAGAGGGACGTGGGAGATGTGGCTAGAAAGGAAGCAAGGTTGGAGGCAGGCTGCGGCCAGCCAGGGAAGGCACTGGTAAACCAAGTCTAAAAGCTGGAACCCCAGCCTTCAACCATAGCGCCCAAGAAGGGCTTGCAGCCGGAGACTGATGGCTGCTAGGGACCTAATTAGGTTAGCAGGTCCGGGAGTTGTTGGGGACAAGTCAGGCCACAATCCCTGGGACTGAGGACATACCCAGGCCAGGGCTCACTGCCTTGATAGTTGAACAGGTCACAGGTGCTCTCCGAGGCAGGCTGGCCGGGCCAGCTCCTCTCACTGCAAGTTTATCTCATTCAGGATCTATTCTCTCTCTCTGTTGCGGATAAACATAGACCCTTATTTTTATATGGGTCAATTATGATGCCAAGAAATCCCACGGGGGATGCTGACATCGGGAGGAGTCTTAGAGGTCCCCCACCAGGGCCGTTCCCCCTGACCAGAGTCAAGAGGTCTCATGGCTTTCCCAAGAACACGCAAACTGGGCGGCAGAGCGGAAACTGGGAGCGGGTCCCCAGATCCCCAGGGCAGGGGTCCTGGAGCTCTTGCACCATCCCCTGTCCTGCCGTCTGTGCTGGGAGTCTTAGAAACAGTGCTTTGGACCTGCTAGGCACAGGGCAGGTGAGTGCGGAGGGCGGGGGCCGCTCCCTCCCCATGGGGGAACGGGTAGGTGATGGTGTTTATTTCTTCTTTCCCGTAGAGGAATAATCCAACGTGGAGCGGAGGATGTTTTCCCTCTGAGATCTGCTAATGGCATGAATTAATTCAAGTTCCACCGGAGGCTGTTGCTATTCTTAGGCCCCTGCTAGGCCCACTGGGAACTGAGATGCCAGTGACTGGGACCATTTGCACACGGAGCCATGGGAAGATGGACAGAAACAGGTGGCTTCCAAGCCAGGAGCTGCCCATCGTTCTGTTGTTCGAAACGAGACAGCCTCTCCCATCGCCCTGTTAGCTCACTGATCTAAGATTTAGGGGCTGGAAGCAACCCCTGAACCATCAAACAACATCCACGCTCGCTCCCACCTCCCCGCTCCGAACACAGTTCACGAATGAACGCTTTGGCCATGTGGACAAATATTAATAAATTATTCTCCCCCCCTCCAGTTTTCCTTTCACTCCACTTTGAGAAATGAAATCCAATTCAGAATATGGAACAGCTTATTAAAAACATAAACTCACTCTTTGACTCTATGAGTTGGAAATAAAAGGTATTTTTTAATCAAAAGGAATTTCTAATTCACTGCAGCACTGAGCTTGCTGAACTCCACCTGTTGGAAACGCCACTTGCCTAAATGACGTGAACTGGCACGTGGCAGAGAATAAAGCCGCCAGCTCAGCTCGGTCTGCATCGGCTCTTCAAGTCACACACGCTCAGAAAGACCTCAGTGTGGGAGACGTCAGCTGAGCCCCAAGGAAGGGCTGCCAAGAAAGGGGTTTGGGTCAGAAATGTCTGAAAATACACGAACACCTACAGGAAACTTACCCAGGAGAACGGGATGAGCTGATTTCATTCATTCAGCTCCTGACTCCACGAATATTTATTTCTGCGTCTGACTTTGTTTTCGGTGCGGAATGTCTAAAGATGACTCATAGGTGATCCTGGGCTCAAGGAACGCCTGAGGTGCTGGGAGCCCAGATAGGCCGGTGATACGTGAAGACGCAGTGCTGAATGCTGTCAAGGGGATATACGTAACCTGCAGGCCAAGAGACATGAGAACGAACACCTGGTCTTCCCGGAGGCACAGGAGTGCTCCCCTGGAGCGGGAGCATTTTAAATGACACTAGTCACAGCTCTTTCTTTTGCACGGGGCTTAAGCCCCACTCACCTTGGCTTAAACAAAAGAGGATTTCATTGGCCCAAGTAAACATGCATCAGAGGTGGAGATTCAGGTACAGGTGAGTGAGCAGACAGAAGAGTCTGTTCAAAGGCCCTGAGGCAAGTTTCTTTCCATCTCTTGGCTTTGCTTTGCTCTCACCAAGCTTCCTCCTTGGGTGCATTTCTCTAAGTATTGGTAAAATGGCCTCCTGCAGCTGGCGGCCCACACTTTACCAGTTCAGCAACTCCAGGGAAGAAAAGAACCCCTTTCCCAGTTGTTCTTGGGCTGACTCTCGCTGGTGTGGCCTGAGTCTTGTGCCTCCCTGGGCCAGTCCCTGCTTCAGAGGGGTAGAAGACGCTGCCTGGGCAGGCTTGGGATGTCTGCCCATCTCTGGAATCAGAGGAACAGGGAAGGGGAACACGTCAGCCTTTTCCAAACTGCATTCATTCCAGAACATTCATTAAGGACCACACTGGGAGTCGAGCCCTGCTCTGAGAGAGGAAGCTGCACAGGACAGAAAGGACAGAACTCCCTGCCCTGGGTGAGCTTGCAAATGAGGAAAACACAGGTGGGGTAGATGCAGTATGTACAAATGATAGGGAGAAAAATAACCCGAGGAATGGGGGCAGGGTGCTACATTAAAAAGGGTTGTTGAGGATGGTCCCCGGGAGAGGCGACAACATTGTGCAGAAGCTGAAGATGCTGAGGACCCAGCCAAGAGAGTCACTGGGGTACAAAGGAAAACAGCCGTGAGAAGAGCCATCTCTGGGGCCGTGAGGCAAGAAAAGGCCTGACAGCTTTGAGGGGCACCAGATATCCCATAGCTTGACCCCACTGAGCGATGGGGAGAAGGGCACGTCAGGGGAGGGTGGGGCGCGGAGAGCATGCAGCACCGGAGAAACCATCAAAGGACTTCAGCTTTTATGCTGAGGGCAGCGGGAGCTGCAGGGGCTGAGCATACTGGCGAGGTGGTACCCTGTTGGAAAATCGAGATGCTCTGATCAGAGAACGGAGGATGGATCCTGGGGAGAGAAGACAAGAAGCACCTGGCTCAAAGTCGCGACAGAGCATGGGTGGACGTGTGGGAGAGACTGTTCCTGGCAGAAGGGATGGCATGGAACAAGAATAGATACCAAAGGCCCCTAGATACCCTCTAGGAACCATCAGCTGTGTCAGTTAAAATATTTAGAGAGAGAGACTGTGTCGGGGTTAGAGCTCCCGGGAGGAGGGCACAGGAGAGGGACCGAGTGTGGCCCATGCAGTGCTCCAGGCCCCATAACCGGAAGGTATATGCCCTTCAAGAGCATCTCTGTGGAGGCAGGAGAAGCCTGGCAGAGTCAATCGCTCCTTCTAATCTTCCCTCCCAGGAAACTTGCAGATATTAAAATGACCACTCAAGGGGAACGTGATTTGATTTCAAGTTTAATTGAAGGACATTGTGCAAATGCGGAAATTTAGAGAGGAGGAAAAGAAAATTTCCCGGTGATGGTTTAATTTCCATTTCTTTTTCTAAACGTGGAAAGCTGTGTATTAAAAATGCTAGGTGAAGAATATTACAAACAGATAACCATTTCTTTTCCTTCCCAGGAAAGGGTAGATGCCATTTGGGATTCCCTCGGCAGATGATCAGTTTAGCAAACATCAGTGAGGCGCTAGAATTGGCAGAGTACCGTCCACATGCCCACATCATTGGCCCAGCAGCGGTAGCTAAAATGTGATGGAGTTGCACTCCGCGGCAAGTGGGTGGGTGGGGGCCCAGAGTCTTAGGGAGTCGGTTCCCCGAGGCAGACACTCAAGCAACTCAGCAAACACTCAGGGAACCCCATCCAGGTACCACCTACTGGGCCAGGCCCTGGGGGTGACGTGGTTTCTCTTATATGCCAGGATGGTCTTAGAAGCCAGAAGACATGGACCCAGCCCTCCAGGACAGAACAAGCGTGACAATGACCACAATCGTGGGCTCCGCCCTTACCTTTGTATTTGAAGACAATTGGCAATTTATGAAGCACTTTCTCCTGTACTGATCCTTCTTGCTCTCACAGGAACACGGTGCACAGAAATGGACCCAGATCTGCCTGACTTTGATGTTTTGGTGACCAGGACTTGGTCTTTGTCTTAAAATTCTGGGCCACTCCATATTGTACCTCCTTCAACCAACTTTCTCAGCTTCCACTCTGAGGCTAAGAGCTGAGTTTTGTGTAGATATAGTTCTCCTAATGACCTATGAAGTGGGTGCTGTTGCTGCTGTATCTTCAGATTAGGACCCTGAGACTTAAATTCAGTGAACTGCTTCAAGGTCACTGCCTGGACTTGACCCCAGGCACCTGGCTCAGGAAGCCACACTTTTAACCATGCAGCCCTGAGCCTAGTGTCTAAGGGTCGAGAGCTCAGTGTGAATATAATTTCCAATAGAGCTGTTATTTTTAACTCTCACCACAGTCCCTAAAAGCTTCTGTTAGCAGCTCCATTCTTAGACGAAGAAATGGAAACTTGGAGACACTAAGCCAACACTGACATCAGAGCTCACTCACTTAGAAGGTGCCAGATGTGGGATCCTAACCCAGCTTGGTCCCACTCAATCTGCTGAACATTCATGCCCCCACAGGACTTGGCATCTGCTAAAGACTCATCATCATACATCCTGGTTCATCTTGACTCTTTCTTCCTCTCTTCCCCTTCAAGAGAAGCCAACTGGCACATCCCTGAAAGTTCAGACGGGGGTCATGGGAAGTTTTGGCCCCAGACTCACGTTGTCACTCTCGACTTCCATCAGGTCTCCCAGAAGCTGGAAGGATTTCTACACCCACACAGGCACAACCAGACTGACCACAAGTCAACTAAATGGGTACGGCGTCTACCAAGGAAATGACCACAGAGGAGCTGTGTTGATGGAAGGGATTGCCGAGCTGGGGAAAATCAACACAGCTTGAACAGCCAATCAGTTCTCTCGTGACGGGGGGTTTACTGTGGTGGAAAGGACACCTGACACGGAGCCGACACTGCTGGCTTTCCACTATGGGGAACGAGTGGTCATGCCACTCTTTCAACTCTGAGACTATTCTGAAACTCTTCTTCCTCACCTGCAAAATGGCCATCAGCCCACCCATGCGGAGGTGGGGAGGCCTCCGTGAGGACAAGGATGGGAAAGTACCGAGCGCACCATCTGCTCAGAGTAGGTGCTCAAGAAACACTGGTTATATATACTGGCTGAATCCAAATGTGACCCCTGAGGCTTGTTAGCTAACGAGGGAGCATGTGTTGAAGTGGCTGTTAATGTGTAGAGACAACAAGCAGTCAAAACTATTTTTCAATTTTGTTGACCGGCCACATTTGCAGCAGGGCCTCCGAAAACCAAACTTTGCACTCGTCTTATCAGCCCGTTGGTCGGGCCACTTGCGTATGTTGTTGGCTTGCATCCACTTTCTCTGAAATGCCACAAAGGAACCAGATTGCGGAAGCCACTTGGGGATTTTCCACTTCTCAATGGGCTGCTCTGGAGCCCTTCAGACCCTTGAGATCCGGAAGAAGGAAACTGCCACTGAGAAGGGGACTCAAGGGGCCACAAGTTGAGTGGGGGGCCCTCAGGACCCGGAGCAGGACGACCTGAGACAGCAGCCTCTCTCTTCTGCCAAGTGGCTGTTTGGCCTTGAAAAGTCACTCTCTTCTCTCTCTGGGTTCCCCGAAAGGGGAGAGGGGATGGGCTAGAAATCGAATACCCTCCTCGATGACTAATCAGAAGAAGAAATATCTCTGAGCTCAGAGGAGCCTACTATGGTCTTCAACCTGTTGCGTTTACCATCCTATCTAATCTTTGTGACCATCCTGCAGATTTCGGGGAGCCTCTCCATCTTACAGATGAAGAAACAGGAGGGGAGATTAAGTAGCGAGCCCACGTCACAGCAAATGAAATGGCAGAGACGACTTGGGTGCTAGTCAGACAGGATTCAACATCCCAACAGATGAACACCCACTCCTCGGTTCTTCCACTAGGATGGTCTCTGAGGGTCAACTCTGATGTTTCTCCACAAAGCTTGAATCACGGACCCTGCAACACGGAATGCAATTTATTCCGCCTTCCAGAGACGAAAAGCATCAAAGCAAGCTTCCGGGAATTTAATTTCAGCGTTTGCATCCAAGTCACCAGGGGCTCAGGAGGCCAGGCGGGACACACTGCCCCGCGCTCGCTCTCGCCTTCTCTCTCTGTCAGAGGTGAGCAGCTCCAGCTCCCCCATCAGAGATCTGAGGGTCTGCCCCATGCCTACCTCGTTCCACCGCATCGAATGAATCCCCACTCTTGCCCAGCCCCATGGCCCCATTTCCACCGCCCCTGGGAGGGCAGAGCTCCCCACTCCACTCTCACAGACTTGCTGACACACCCTCAGCCACTGCCCTGGCCCTGGTTTGCCTCTCTAGGCACCTTCTCCACTCTCTCAAGGTTATCCATTCTGAAATATTATCACGTTCCTATTACAGCCGTCCAATGGCTCCCCAAACCCACAGAGTCAAGGATCAGCTCCCAGCAGAGCTTCCAAGACTCCCCGTCATCCAACCACCCCCTCCATCTCCAGCCCCATCTCACCACACCCACCACACACACACACACACACACACACACACACACACACACACACGGAGCAGTGCCGGGCCTCGGGGCTTCCCGCCTCCACCCTTCTCCTCCTCTTCCCAGAACACTCTGCCCACCCTCGTCACATGCTCACCCTTCTTCGCCTGCCAGCTCCTCCTCGCCCTTCAAGACTCAGCTTGGCATCACCCCACAGGGAGCGTCCCCTGGGCCGCGGGTTGGGAGGTGCCTCCTCTGAGGACTGGTCAGGCCTCTTGATGGCTGCAGACAAGGCACCCGCTCCCTGGTGACACCTCTGCCCTTCCCCATCTCACCCAGCAGCCTGACTCTGAATTCAGCATGGCCTTCCTCCTGGTCCTCAGGCCCTGCCACTGGGCCTCTGGGGTGAGTCCGAATCTGCATCCTTAGCAGGTGATCTCTGTTTTCTCCGGAAACCATTGCTCTAATCTCGCTCTGACTCCCTGCGTTCAGACCGGGGTTTGTAGTTCTCCATGGTGGGTCGTGAATACGACGAAACCAAACTGCTAAATCAGAGTCCCTAAAATTTTCCACTCCCACACCAGTTCTTTGCCAGGAAAAAGGCAACGTATTGTTGTCCAGGCGCAGTGTTTTCCTTCCAGGATGCAGTCCTAACCAAAGGGGCAAGGGGTGTGCTGGGAAAATTTCTGCAGTTTGTCCCTGGGCCTTCTGGTTATTCTTGTTGTCCCAGGTTGCTCCGAGCATCCAGAAACCCACCCTTCATAGAGTCAGGAGGCTGAGATGGAAGGACAGCAGCCACAGAGCCATTCTGGTCCATTTAAAAGGGTGACTCTTTTTAAAGAGTTGATGATTTGAGAAAGGAGAATGTGCTCTGTGGCCACAGAGACGCTTGTGACTAATTATTTTTTGACAAGTCTGAAACTTCAGGGTCAAGTGGAAAATATCTCTAATAAGACATTTGGCACAATGAGGAAGAAGGAAACAAGCATTTATCAAAGACCCACTCTGCGCCAGCCACGGCTTCCATGCTTGACACATTGTTTCCTTGAGTCCTCTCGGTATGCTCCCGTTTTACAGATGAGGAAACTGAGACTCAGAGAGGCAAACACGTTTCCCAGGCTTATGTGATTATTACAGAACCGGAGCAGGGTTGAAGGCTCGTAGCTCAGCTCTCCGTGCCTGTTTGAGGCTGGATTTCCTGGGTGCTGTCCTGGAAAGATCCTTGTTGTAGGTGACTGGAAGCTGGGATTTCTGTTCAGCTAATGGACAAGTCACTGGCCCTCTTGGCAGCTTACTTTCCACATTCCAGGTGAAGTGTTCCATCTATGTTCCTTGGAAGTCCTGAAGCACCGTGGAGGTTGCACTGGGTCTCCAGGTAGGTGATGGGGAAGGGGTCCTGGACAGATTCCCCCTTCTTCTTTCCACCGAAGTAACTGCACTTTGGTTGGTTTATATATGGAGGTTACATGTAAGAGTTCTTATGAAGAAAGAGACCCACTGCTACATATATATGAATAAAAGAGTGAGTGAATACAAAATCCGATGACCACAGAGTCTCTAGGGCCCCATCTCTCAAGCGCAATAGCTGGGAGCTTTGTTGACCAACAGCAAGCTCTACACAACGCTGCGCTGTCAAGAGTGGCGATGTGTCCACCCAAAGCCAGCCCTCCCAGGGATTTGTAGAGCGTCATGTGCAGACATTCAAGTGACTATTACTATGCTTAGCCTTCTCATCCGTCACTCACAGGGTGCTTGACAGTTTGTAAGGCGTGTTCATACACACGGTCGTATTGTGATATGTTGCCAGTTTTACCAAGATCGGGGTCTTCAGCGTTTGGGAAGCTCCCTTTTAATGGCCCCACATTCTCGCTGACATCCTCACACTATTCCCTTCGAGACTCTGGAAACTTCCATTTTCCCTTAAAGGCCAGCTCTGGAAAGCCTCACATCCTCCTTTGCACTGCTGGGCCCTTCCTTCCCTGGGCCCCACACCACTCTGACCCTTGTGCAGCATGTTCAAGTTGTGTCGCATCCTCCCTTCCTGCCATACTATGAGCATCACAAGAGCAAATGGCTCAGTTAACACCTGAGGGACTGAAGAATGAACGAATGAATGAGGAAATGCGTGAGTACCCAGCTTCTTACATTAGCTAACTTCTATCTCCCTGATTCCCTAAGTAAAGTCAGTCCCGCCCTCATGCTCACCAGGTAGCATGTTTACGAGGACTTACTATGTGCGTGGGACTATACCAGGTATGAGGGGACCGGTGGTGGACAGGAGAGCCAGGGCCCCTGTCTTCGTGGAGCATCCTCTTTGAGTAGACACACTCAGAGTACTTCTCACACAGAATGGTCAGCACCTGTGTTGACGTTAGTCTCGCGAAATCTCTGTGAAGACCTGGACTACGTCTGGCTCATCTTCATGCCCAGCACCCAGCTCAACACCTGGGGAATATTGGGTGTTCTGTGAATGTTTGATGGATGAATGTGCCCATCAGAAGCCTGGTCCCTTTGCCGGACCTTATTTCTGGGTCCATATGCAGGACCTGGGACTAAACACATTTCTTCGCAATCCAGGAATCTCAGATGGCACCCTGGGCAATGAGTATTTTTATTCTTCAAAGCTTACACTAGTCATTCTCAAGAAAGGTCATTAATAAAGCCCTTTCTGTGTGCCTGTGTGAGTGTGTGTGCGGACGTGTGCGCACACACACACACCCCATTTGGAAAGAGTTCTCACCTTATGGCATAAGACAGCACCATTTCGTGGCAAGGGAATAAAACAGAAATCCGTCTTCCCCTTTTGCCAGCACTGCCCTGGAAGCCACAGAAGCAGCGAGGTGGGCCGTGAACAGTTAATGGGGCCAGGAGTCCGCGCAGTCACCTGTTAGCTGCGTGACCCTGGGGGAGTCGCTTCACCTCTCTGAGCCTCAATCTCCTCATCTGCAGATCAGAATAGGAACAAAACAGAAAACCACATTCCATCCACTTGCTTTTACTGATATTTTTGTTCAGAAAACTGAGGCCCGGAGCCCAGATCTTAAAGGCACGCAGGGGAACTCAGGGGCAGTAGGCATCAGGGTGCCCAGAAATAGAAGAAAGGAGCTGAGTGTCTGGCCTGGGACAGCTGGGACTTAGAAGTCAGGCAAATCTGCTCAAAGCCAGTTCCTCTCTCCTACTAGCCATGTGGCCTTAGGCAAGGCACTTCCGCTCTCTGGGCCTTGCTCTCTTCATCTGTGAATGGAAATAATGATGCTCCAGCTGACCTCAGGATCTCTAACTGTTCGGTGCCTCGCTGCCTGCCTTTGCCGACCGCCTCTCCCCTCTGTTTTCTGGTCTTCAATGACCTGTGAACCGTGATGTCTAGTCCCATAACGGTGTCAATGCTGATGTCAAAAAATTCTGCTACCCGCTCCAGCACAGCTAAAACCTGAAAGACAAAGCCACCAAGGGTCAGAGAGTGGAGTGGCTCGACCTCTTGGTCCCTGCAGGTGGAATTGCAACCGCTCTCTGGAACCATTTGGCAACATCTACAAAAGCTGACCACATGCACGCCCTTTGACCCGAGATTCTGCTCCTAGATATTGTTCACCCCAGACCTGTGCTAGAATCCCTGTAGAAATCCTGTTCCTTGCTGGAAATCCCCTAAACCCATCCACTGCAGACTGAATGGGTACATTAACTGTGGAATCTTCCCACCGTGGAGTATGACACAGCACTGAGGACACAGCCACCGCTGCTACACGTATCAGCAGGGACGAAGCTCACAGACGTAACATGGAGCGAAGGAAGCCAGACACAAGAGCACCTGCTGCGTGCTTCCAGTTACCTAAAGTCCACAAACAGGACAAACCCATCTATGGTGATGGTCTGGGAAGTGGGTGTTGGATAATGTCGCGAAGTAGTCAGTGGGAGTGACGTCACAGGGAAGCTTCTGGCGGTGCTGGTCCTGATTTGTTTCTTGATCTGTTTTCTGATTCCATGGGGGTGTGAAAGTTCCTTCGGTTGTACGCACATTCACGCCAAGTGCATTTTCTGTATGTTTAGGATACTTCATTCTTTATTTATTACTTGTGTTTTCTTCTGTCATTGGGTCTTGCTGCAAGACTCTGTTTGGTCTTCCCTATAAAGATGTCCCTTATTGGCTAGAAATCATAGGAGAATTTTCTCCAAAACGGCAGAAACAGAGGATCCTGCTCTCTGCTTTTCAGTCTTACCAGGAAGGAGAAACAGCGGTCCAGGAACTCGGTACCCTGACTCTCCCGTGGATTGTACTTATTGCTCAGTCTCACCTTCTCCTGTGGACCCAGGTGTGCGCCTCCCGTGGGAGATGGGAGTGGGATCCTAGAGTGGGATGGACCTAGGCAATGCCCCCGGGCCCCTGCACCTCCATGTCTTCATCTGTAAAATGAGGTCCTTAGTGCCTGATGCAGGATTGGCGGGAGCATTCAGTGAGATTATCTAGATGAAGCCTGAGGCGAGGTGCCTGGTAGAGAAACACGCTAAATGTTGCCGCTGTTATGACGACTTTCCCTGTAATACTCTAAGCCCTTTAGACGCGCATCCTCGCTTCATCCTCTGAAATCTGGATTATCAACCCCATCCTACAAACAAGGAAACTGAAGCTCCAAAGGCTCATCTCCCATGATCCAGGTCAAAGAGCTAACCTAATAGTTCCCCAACTGTGCTCAGCATCAGAATCGCATGGAGAGCTGGTTAAAACAATTGAACATTTGCAGTGTGCTGGGGCAGGGGTTGGCAAACTATTTCTATAGAGGGCCAGAGAGTAAATATTTTAGGCTTTGCGGGCCGTGGGGTCACTGACACAGCTATGAACCCTGCCTTTATAGCAGACAAAACAATAAGGAAACAAATGGGTGTGACTTCTTCCAGGAAGAGTTTATTTGCAAAAACAGGCAGAAAGCCAGATTTGGGCCACAGGTCACCATCAAGTGCTGGGAAAATGGAGATGATCAGAGAGAACGAAACAGGCAGATGCAGAGCCCTGTGACCAGGCCTCTAACGCAGAGGTTCCTTCGAACGAGATGAAGGACAGCCCAGAGAAGAGAGCTAGACGCAGTCAGAGAAGGACCGACGCAGGAAATGACTTTGACTGGATCCTGAGAAGTAAGTAGGAGCTCACCAGTCAGAGGGCGAAGAGTGTTACAGCTGGAAGGAACAGCGGATGCAAAAGCACGGAGGCCGGAGAGAGTGCTGCCCACTCAGCCCAAGGGTCATAGCTCAGCGCCATGTTCCTGCCCTACCTCCCTTCTGGCGTATTCTCAGATTGTACCCTTTGGTGTATTCTGTGATTTTTTTTTTGACCTACTTGTTTGTAAGTGGGCTCCACCACTGGAATATAAGTTCTATGAGGGCAGGAATGGCCCACAATATGGAGTGAGGGGTCCCCTTTATGTTTCCCCAGCACCCCGTGCCTGCTCTGACCATGGAAGTCACCATGTTGGGGGCAATTGTCTTTTCATGGGTCTGCCTATTCCTCCGCCTCCAGCCGCTCCACAATGAGACCCAGTTCTACTCAATACGCATGTGCGTCCTCTGCACGTGGACCTGTGACTGGGGCTCAGTAAGTACGTGCTGTGGGATGCATCAGTGGGAGTCACGCAGCGTGGGGAAATGAGGAGTGCAGGGACTAAGGCAGAGATGATGCTGCAGAGGCTCCAGACTCAGGTCGTGGTGGCCCTGCATCACAGGAAGGTGCTGGGATGCTGACCCAGATGTGCCGGGACACGGGTTAGCTTCTGTGTAGAACGAGCTCCCAGTTGGGGGACAGTCCCATAAACGGGTAGTGCCAGTGTATATTCTGAAGAAGAAGGCATGAAGTGCGCTACAGGCGGAGCTGTGCACCCATGAGGAGGGAGCTTGCACTGTTTGGGGAGGGTAGGTAGATAAGGGGTAGACCACAACACCCACCGCCCCCTAAACTAGGAGGCAGCCCTGCCTTCGGGGACAGAGTACTTACTAGCTGTGACTTGGTACAAGTCACATCACTTCTTGGCCTCTGTTTCTCACCTGAAAACAGAAACAACCATAACATCACTGTCCTAGCTCGGGCTCCCCAGGAGACAAACTCTGAGGAAGAGATTTGGGTGCAGAAGGTGCACTGAGGGGTGGCCCCATCCACCCAGGGGGAGGAAGAAACAGGACAGGGCAGAGGGAGGTTCTGGACTGCAAGACAGTCACCCTGAAGGTCTCGGCTGACCCCTTGGGAACCGGGCTGGAAGGCCCTGCGGGGGTGAGCTGAGTTGGCCTGGGGGCTTGGCTTTGCGCCCCCACATAGGCCAGTAGTTGGATGCAGGCAGCCTGGAGATGGCCGTGTGACCTTAGGGGAGGCATATCCCTTCAACCAAGGGCAATTCCTGGGGAGGGATTCAGCTGAGAGCCAAGCGACCAGTCTCCCCCCGAGGGGTCCTGGGCAGCTGATGACTCAGTCCCCTACACCCACCTCAGGGGTGCCAGGTGGAGCGCAGAGGAGGACACACTGTGAAGACCTTGCCTCTGCGAGTCAGGAGGATCTTGTCGTATGTCTTATCTGACAATCAGTTAAGTGACCACATGAGAGAGGGGTCATTTCTCAAATAGCGAAATGATTCTCTATGGTTTCCTCTTGAAAAAAAAATGATGAGCTCCAAGAAAAACGAGGCCAGCTTGAAGTTCATGTTGTTGTACAATGAGTCTCTTACAGGCACCCACAGCATCACAGCAATAGAGGGACCAATCCAGCCTCCCACTGAGCGGAGAGGGAAATTGAGGCCCAGGGAGAAAGATGGCGAAGCTTGGACAAGGACGCAGGTCTTTCGACCGTCAGATGCGTGCCTTCTCACGTCAGCCCACAGGTTCCTCTTGCCGAGATCCTCTCCAAGCTAACACCCGATCGTGGAAACAGACCATACTCAACCCAGCAAGTCTTCTAAAAGTCCTTGTGCTGTGGTCTGGGGACTGAGCTCTCTGGCTCTGGATTGGACCAGATCTTTGCACAGATTCCAGCTCTATCACTGCCCAGCTGGGTGACCTTAGAGAAGCCACTCACCTTCTGCACCTGCCTTCTCATCTGTAAACTCGGCATGGTAAGGCCCACCTCACAGAGCTGGTGCAAGAAGTTACTAATACACTGTGTGGACAGCGTGCTCAGCCTAGGAGCCAGCTCACCAGAAGCACCTCAAAATGGCAGCTGCCATCAGTGTTACATGGATGGTGCTGGGCCAGGCACCGAGAAGCTTGGAGGGGTGGACATGGATATGATCTCTCCCTGCATGGGACTGATGATAAAGAGCTAAGATTTAGAGTTGGGGATGGTTACTCAAAGGACAAATGTCAAGGAGGGTGTCATTAAGTGACTATATATGAGGCAGTGAGTAAAACAGATTTTATGAGAGAAAGAAAGAGGAAACGTATAGGGCTGACTTCAGACTGACATAAAACATACATTTGACATATTTTTATCTTCTTATTAAAAATATTTCTTGTTATTGTCTGATATTAGATGCATTTGCATCCAATGGTCAAAGTAGTTCAGTGAGGACAAGAAAGAGCATTCTCATTTTACGGAATAAAGAACATGGGCTCCAAGAAACAGGGCGCTTGTCCAAAGTCACACAGTTAGACACTCTCCGCGTTTTTTTTTTTAAATGGAAAAAGAACTTTTATTAGTATCTTTCCGTCCTTCTTACACTTTTTTTATTCCATTGAGGTGAAAGTCACATAATACAAAGTTGACTGCTTTATTTAAAGTGTACAATTCAGCGGTATTTACTACATTCACAGTGTTGTGCAAGTACCATCTCTTTCTAGTTCCAAAAATCTTCATCACCTCAAAGTAAAACCTCCTACCCAGAAAGCATTTATTCTCGATTCCCTGCTCCCCTCGTTCCTGGGAACCGTCAATCTGTGTTCTCTCACCATGGGGTTGCCTCGCCTGGATATTTCACGTAAATAGAATCATGTCTGTCCTTTCATGACTGGCTTGTTTCACTTAGCATAGTGTCTTCTAGCTTTATCCACGCTGTAGCACGTGACAGAATTTCGCTCCTTTTTATGGCTAATATCCCATTGTATGGATATACCACAATTTGTTTATCCATCTATCCATTGATGGACTTTGGGTTGTTTCTCCTTTTTGGCTGCTGAGAACAGTGCTTCCAAGAACATTCATGTACAAGAATTTGTTTGAATGCTTGCTTCAATTATTTGGAGTATACACCCAGGAGTAGCATTGCTGGGTCATATGCTAATGCTAGGTGTAACATTTTGAGGATCCCCAAACTTTTTCCACCGTTGCTGGAGCATTTTAGATTCCCCCCTGCAGTGCACAAGGGTTCCACTTTCTCCACATCCACGCCAGCACTTGCTGTTTTCCTTTTTTAAAGTCCTTACGTTCATCCTAGTGAGTGTGAAGTGGTATCTCATTGTGGTTTTGACTCGCATTCCCCTGATCCCTGACGCCATTGAGCATCTCTTCTTGTGCTTGTCCGCCCTTTGGTTACCTGCTTCGGAGAATTACCCATTCAGATCCCTGGCGCATCTTCTAATTGCGTTGTTTGTCTTTTCTTTGGGTTACATTGTGAAAGCTCTTTCTGTATTTTGGGTACTAGAACCTTTTCAGATGCATGCTTTGCAAATCATCTCCCCCGTTCTGTGGGCTGTCTTTTCTTTCTTGATAATGTCCTTTGATGCATGAAAGTTTTCCATCTTGAGGAAGTCCAATTTCTCTGTTTTCTTTTGTTGCTCATGCTTTTGGTGTCATCAGGGCTGACACTGAAAGCCTGATCCTCTATCAGCAAACCATGCAGCCTCCTGGACAACACACAGCCTTCCGAGGGGCGGAGCTTGTACTTTATGTAAATGAGCCAGGTCTAGAGGCAGCCGGCTGCCAGTGAGAGCAGCTGTGTGCACAGACAGTCTGAGGTGAGGGTCGGGGCAGCAGCGTCTGCCTCTCTGCTGGGCTGGGTTGGGGGGTCCCAGTTCTAGATGCTGGAGGGGGCCGTGCAGCAGGAGAGGCTTGGAAAAGCCCCTCCCTGACAGTCAGGCAGAGCTCCGAACAGAACCTCCGGGGCAGGAAACTAGGGGCAACCATGTGGGGAGCCGGTGACAGCACAGGAGAGGAGGGAGGGGACAAAGAGAGAGGAAGGAGAGATAAGAACAACGGGCTCGGGGCTGGGGTAGGGACAAGAACCACTGCTGGAAAAGAAACTGCTTTTCCAAACTCTCAAACGTTGAGTCAACGCCCCACCTAGGAGAAATAAGAAAACTCGGGCATCCTTGGGCTCTAGCCTGTGGCCTCCAGCGGTGCCCTGAGGGGACTTGAGGTGAGGGCCCGCCTTGAGAATAATTTCAGGCTCCAATACGTGTACAAATGTGCTGCGTGTCTTCGCACGTGTTATTCCATTTAATCCTCCCAGTAGCTCTATGGGATACTTATTTATTTTCTCTACCTTACAGGTAAGGAAACGAAGACTCCAGGAGCCTATTTTCCAAAGGCCGCATTACCAACAAAGGACAGACCGAGATTTGGACTCTCATGTCCTGATCCCCGCCTCAGGCTCTTTCTGCCAGAACCACAGACAAATCCACAAAGTGACCCTCCGTGAATCTTAGAGGTCATTTAAAGGTAGCGGTGTCTGCCTCGCTACTCAAAGTGTGGTCCGTGGACCAGCAGCATCTGTACTCCCTCAGGGCCTGGTAGCTGTGCAGAATCTCAGGCCCCAGGCTGGACCCGAGGAATCAGAATCTGCATTTTAATGAGGCCCCTGGGTGATCTGTATGCACACAACAGTTTGGGAAACATTTGCCTATGGGGTATCATTTCAGACTTTCAAGAATTTTTACCATTAGAAATGAAGATAACAACAACAGTCAGCATCGTTAAACTCAGCATCCTGATCCAACCACAGACCGGTCCAAACTTTTCAAAATATCATCTGAGCAGAAAAGCTTATAAACTGCTTTGCTTATCAGCCAACAGCTGACCTCAGAACCTTTGGCAAGACAAAATGTTCTGCCCTCCCAATGAGATCAGTATCGCATTTCTGGTGGTGTATTTATCTAGTTTTCATTGCTGACATGTATTACGTAACACCACCCCTCTTTCTTCTGCCATCACTGGCTTATTTGAACATCTGACTTACCTTGACCCTAGAGCACAGTGCAGCTTATGCAACAATCTGAACGTTTCTCCTCAGAAGTCCCCTGTGTCCCCATGGTGGCCTCGGCTCCTGTCCTCATGCCGCAGACAAGATAGCTGTGTCCCACCTCTGATTCTCTAGGCGACTTTAGGATCCAGCCCTGGCTGCGTGCTTACTGCCTCCCATTCTTCGAGGATTTTCTGGGCTTGACTAAGAGTCTTTCAGATCTTCTTTCCCAACTGTGCTGGGCTTCGAGACTGCTCAGAGAACAGAGGCACCTGGCTCAGAACGTGTGTAGATAATACCAAGCAGAATCTTCCTCCTCTCTCCGTGATGGGGAATGAGGGGGCCAGCAGGCAGATCAGGACCAAGGATGGGACCCGAGGGGTCGGCTGGGGAAGGAAGAGGTCCAGAGAGAACAGTGCTGAAAACCCAGGGTTCTAGGGTCCAACAGAACTGAGACTTGATCCAGCTCGGCTTCTTATTTGCTGGGTGACATTGGGTAGATTACTCACCTACTTTGAGCCTCTTGGTCTCATCTATAACAGGGAGAGGATGATGCCGACCTCTGGGACTAAGTTGGCTAACATTAGTAAAATTCTGGATGCTAGGCTTGTCATATACAGACATTCAATAAGAGGGAGCTTGTTTTTTGATTGTAGAGTAAGTCATTGAGGGAGACAGCCCACAAATGTCATGAAACTTCCAATTCTTAAAACACACACACATGCTAACATGTTTTCCTGCATAAAATTCAATAAAGAATAACTGAAAAAATTATAAGGTGTATGACTTCTTCAGACACTTAGCGCAATGACGGCCCAGATATTTTTTTATGGCTTACAGACTAAGGGTAAATTTTATATTTTTAAAGAAAAATTTAGGAAAGAGTTTGCTGACCCCGGATTAGAGAAGAATCCTAAGAACAGCCCCTCCATATCAAGCACACATGGTGTCGAGTTGTGTTGCTGGATGGCCTTGTCTAGTCTTCCCAATAAACCAGTATGATACCCATCACTGTCCCATTTTACAGATAAGGAAACTGAGGCTTAGAAAGCATAAATAACTTGACCAGAGTCACAAAGCTCACAACTGGCAGAGCACCACTGCCCTAAACAGGTTCCTTTCATGTGGACCTTCTGAATTGAACAAGCAAAGAGTCAAAACCAAGGAAGGAAAATGCACAAGTGCCGGGGGTCCTCTCAACAGCCTGGGGGCATGGGCACAGCTAGTGCAGGGATGCACGCCTGAGGCTAAAGTCAGCCAAGGCAGGAGTGAAACAGGACCAAGTCAGCACAGGAGCACAGAGCTGCGGAGACCCAGGAGGCAGCCCTCACGCTGGGGCCACATAGATATGCTGGGATGCGAGGGGAAGACAACTGGGCCATGTGGCGTGTGCTTTGCAGAGCATTTCCTCAAATCAGTTCTTCTCCACTCAATTATCAGTGGTGGAGCCCCACTCCTGAGCTCGGTAGGGTGCCAGGTGCCTAAAGAACGAAAGGTCAGGGAGACCTACTCCCCACCCTGCAAGTCACACTGGTGGCTGAGGACAGACCACAGAGATCAGGTCTGTGTGCAACGAGCTACAGTTCAAGTGCCACTGAGGGAGCACAGGTGAAGCCTGCTGAGCGCACCCTGAAGCCAGGGACCCACAGACATGCTCATTGGCGTCTCCCTTCCTTCCTTCCTCCCTTCCTCCTTTCGTCCCTTTCACTAATATTTTCTAAGCATGACCAAGAGCTAGGACTGTGTTGGGCGCAGAGGAGAACATGAAGGAGCACCAGACCCATTCCCTCTTCTCGTGAGCTCGTGAAATCACGATGAGAAGGCACGCAGCAGGACTCCAGAGCAGCCTGGGAGAGGTGTGCGCGAGGGCACTGGGCAAGCTGGAGGAGCCTGCGCGTGGGGAGGTCTCTAACAGAGTTTCTCAGGCACAACCAAAAAAGACTTTACCAACAAGGTTCCATCTGATGTGCATCTTAAATAACACAGCCAGAATGAGGGCTCAAAAACCTGCAGCCGTCCTGAGGCAACAGCAGACCCCGTGCAGGACCACTGCACGCAGTTCTGCAGGTTGTGCACTGCACAAAGGGGACGAGTAAGGGCTGAAATCCAGCCCACCCTCTTCTGGGCAAATTGTGTGCTCTGGTGCAGGACTACACCTGTCCAAAGCAAGTGGGACTTGTCTTCTAACAAAAGGGCCACCCACTCCCCAAGCCGTGGGGCTGCACCTGCCCAGCAGGTACACATTTTCCTAATTGCATAGATTCCATGTAAGCTGGCAATGCCCCAACTCTGTCTGAGGATTTGGAGGGAGCCAGGCAGAAGCAGTCTTGGAGATGGAGGCGTTTTCACCTTTGAAGACAGAGAAAGACAAAGCAAATATCGCTCCTGGGTTTTCCAGACGGGGAGTCCCAGGCTCCAGGAGGCAGGCCAACTTGCCCAGGTCCACGCAACTTGTTAGTGGCTCAGCTGGAAGCAGAACTGACCCTCACATTTGGCAGCCTCCCCTCTAAGCCTGCAGCCTCCCAGGATGTCTCTTGAAATGCAGGAATGAGGACAAAGAGAACTGGGGCCTGGGCTCCTTCCTCCGCTTCACAGAATGCGATGAGGCTGCAGGATGGTTCCCCATCTTGACGACTTCTTGGAAACCCAGTTCCCTGCGATAGGGACTTTCTCAAATTTGTCATAAATGGCCGTCCTATTACCGAGGACTGTCTTCAACACATGCCCGGTGACTTTTTTTTAAATAGCAGCAAGAGCAGCTATAAATTGGGATAATTTTCTAGTCACCTTCTGTTTTCCAATACAGCGCCACATTGCAAAGATGTTTTTGATGCCTGTAAGTCAGGAGCTAGAGGTAATGTACATTGGATGAAGGGCAATAAAGAGAGAGAGATTTACATGAAGCACTCTAGAATGGAGTGTGCCAGGGTGCTGGGGACATCTTAGAGGCTGATGGAGGTGGCATTTCTGTACACAGATATGTAAAAATTCATCGAGCCTTACGCTGAAGATTTGTGTACCTTTTATAAGTCGCCCCATATAAAAGTGGCAGCATCCCTCCCGTGCGTCTTTCCACCATAGGCCATTTCCGTGCCTTGTCTGATGGCATCCTCACCGTACTTCTGAGTGGGATGATTAACGGGTTTACAGAAGAGGGAGCTCAGCTCTGCCACTTGCCTATACGAGCTCAGATTGGCCCCAGAAATGCCCCTTCTTTCCCTGAAAGTGGCTTATGTTCAGTTAGATGAGACGGGATCTCTGTAAACTGCTGGGTACCACGGAGTGGGCACGGCAGCATCCTGTCCACCTCCGCAGCCCTGCTTCTCCTGTGCATCACGCTAACTGAGGTGGACGCCACCATGAGCCGAGGAGCTGAACGACAGGCGGGCTGCTGGACCATTAGGGGGACTCCATCCAGACAGCGCTCACCATTATCCTACTTCTCCCTGTGCGGTGGCCTCAGCCTGCTCACCCGAAAGCAACTGGAGCACATTGCAGGTGCACAGGGCACGTCCCCCCCGGTTGTGTGACATGTTCCATCTCAAACTTCCAATAAGTAGTCATAACGCTATTTAAAAACCCCAGCTGCAAGCAGGGGCCAGGCCCACGGTTTCTAGGATACTTGAAATGAGACCACTTCCTCTTAAACCTGGAAAATGCAGTGTGTGTGTACCTGTACGTGTACACGTGTGTGCATGTGAGACAGAGAGAGAGGGAGAGAAAGAGAATGTGGAAGGCAAACACCTCAAATTTCTTTCACCTCGGAGCCTGTCCACTTCCTTTTTCTGCTGAGCTGTCAGTCTGGGCAGAGGACGTGGACATATGCGTATTCATGACAAATGCTCCTCGAGTGGCGAATCTGTGCAGGGGTTTGGAAGAACTGGCATGAGGAGCCTACGAATTAGGGCAGCCCGTGCATTCTTTGTGAGCTTGCTGTGGATGTTAATGAAATGTTGGTGAATGGAACGGAGCACGGAAAAGCTAAAAAATAATGCCACTCCACTGTATTCCCCCGGAGATCAACCCAGGCACGCGCGGATCTAAAACCACGCCAACCAAGTCACCAAGCTGTCGTCGAGCTCCTATGAAGGATCAGAAAATACTGTATTCCATTGTTAGCTCGTTTATCCAAGAGGATTTCTCTATGAAGTTCCTACATTTGTCAGAAACCGTGCGAGGCTCTGGGGCAGTTACAAAGAGGTACGTGCAGAAGTTTCACCCTCAAATGACTCAGGAAGAGGATGGGCACATTCCGTGATAAATATAATAGGGTGTGCTCACTCCTGAGGCCAGTGCAAAGTGCGGGAGGGCTATTCAGAGGCAGGCAGATAAGTTACAAACTAGTCTTGAAATTGAGCGGTTCAGAAGAGGAAAGCAAAGAAGACGGACGTGCACTAAATTCCTCTGTGTCCCTGGCATGGCACGTTTTCCCACACAATGTTTTGTTGTTTTTCATAAAACCCTTGTAAAGGAAGATTTTTTTCCCCCTCGTTTTGCAGCTAAAGACACAGGGGCTCAGAGAGGGGAAGAAGACTTGGTCAAGAGCTAGAATGCAGCAGATAAGAGATTAAAATGTCATTTTCCTGCCACCAGCCCAGGGGCCTAACGTGGAAAGAGGTCGGGATTGGGGAGGCCAGCTGGGTAGCACTTCCTGCAAAGAGTTTGCTCTTTATCCTACAGGCAAGGTCACAGCCTGGCAGCCCAGGGGCCAAATTCGGGTCATGGAGAGTCTTAAATAGTAGTGAGTAGAAGTGGAGAGCATGAATTCTAAGGCCAAATGCCTGATCAGTAATCTTATTTCCACCTTGCACCAGCTGTGCAACGTGGGGTCAGTCACTCAACTTCTCTGAGCCTCGTTTTCCTCATCCATAACATGGAGATCTTCACACCAGTTCCCTTCTCCCAGGGCTGGTGGGAGGACTGAACGAGCTGTTTGCGTTACCCTGCATTGAGCAGAGCTGGGAACATCGGAAGCACATATGTGCGTTAACAATTCTCACGGATACACAGCACCGAGCACAGGCTCTGATATCTAAGAGGTGCTTCAGAAAGGCTCATTACTCTTACGTTGTGTTTATCAAAATTATAAAATATCTTAAATCCTTAATTGATCTGTTTCACAAGAAGATCAAGAAAGAAATATTTATCGGCTCCTGATGCCATCTTGAGGCAGGGGCATCGTTTACAAATTGAGAATAAAACCTTTCTTGACAACTCAGAAGTTTGGGAACAAGGGGACTCACTTTCTTCACTCGCCATGAGTTTCTGTTTCCAGCTGTGTGGCCGCGATGCGAGGGCCTGCACAGCCAGGTACAGACCGCCCCCATGAAGTTTGTAAAGGGGGTTCCATTCCACAGTTGGCGGAGATGGTTAAAAGTTTCTTTTGCTAAAGTGCTGCTTGAAAAGTATCCCATGAGCCAGCCTGGTGGCATAGTGGTTAAGTTCACATGCCTTCAGTGGCCTGGGGTTCATGGATTTGCATCCTGGGTACAGACCTACACACTGCTCATCAAGCCATGCTGTGGCAGTGTCTCACATACAAAAGAGAGGAAGATGGGCACAGATGTTAGCTCAGTGATAAGCAAAAAGAGATTGGCCCTGAGCTAACACCTGTTGCCAATCTTCCTCACCAAAAAGAAAAAGAAAAAGCATCCGAGTGTCACTGGAAAAGCTACTTATTTCCTTTGGCTCTACCACCAACTCCTTATGTAATCCTGATGTGTCCTTTTTCTGTTCATCGGCTTCTCTGATCTTCATAGGATCCCATTTAGTAG